TATTTCGGCACCGCACCCCCCCCCGCTCCGCCCCCTCCCCCGCGCCGTCTCAGCGCCCCCCCGCGGCCCCAGCGCCCGCCCAGTGCCCCCTCCGCCTTGACCGCTTCATTTCGGCGCCGCACCCCCCCCCCGCTCCGCCCCCTCCCCCGCGCCGTCTCAGCGCCCCCCCGCGGCTCCAGCGCCCGCCCAGTGCCCCCTCCGCCCCGACCATTTTATTTCGGCACCGCACCCCCCCTCCCCGCTCCGCCCCCTCCCCCGCGCCGTCTCATCGCCCCCCCGCGGCTCCAGCGCCCGCCCAGCGCCCCCTCCGCCCCGACCACTTTATTTCGGCACCGCACCCCCTCCCCCGCTCCGCCCCCTCCCCCGCGCCGTCTCAGCGCCCCCCCCGCGGCTCCGGCGCCCGCCCAGTGCCCCCTCCGCCCCGACCATTTTATTTCGGCACCGCACCCCCCCCCTCCCCGCTCCGCCTCCTCCCCCGCGCCGTCTCAGCGCCCCCCCGCGGTTCCAGCGCCCGCCCAGTGCCCCCTCCGCCCCGACCATTTTATTTCGGCACCGCCCCCCCCCCCCCCGTTCCGCCGCCTCCCCCGCACCGTCTGAGCGCTCCCCCGCGGCCCGAGCGCCCGCCCAGTGCCCCCTCCGCCCCGACACCCCCCCCCATCCTCCGCCCCCTCCCCCACACGTCTCAGCGCCCCCCACGGCTCCAGCGCTCGCCCAGCGCCCCCTCCGCCCCGACCACTTTATTTCGGCGCCGCAGCCCCTCCCTGCTCCGCCCCTTCCCGGACACCGTCTCAGCGCCCCCACGTTTCCAGCGCCCGTCCAGTGCCCCGCGGCCCCAGTGCCCGGCCAATGTCTTTCCTGCCCCGGTGCGCCCCTTTCGCCCCTTCCCCCCAGCGTTCCCCGCGGCCTCAGCGAGGCCTTCTCCGTATGATTTCCTTCCGCCCCGCCCATCTTCTTTCCGCCCTCGCGAAGTAACACACGAGCGCCACAAAACGCTTAGGACACCGGGGATCCGGGTCATTACGAAATTGCAATTCTGGTTGCAGCAGCAACAAGAAACTGGGGATCCGGGACATTACGAAATTACATTCCTGCTTGCATCAGCAAGTGCACAGACCCTCTACATCTCAGGGTTGTACCCAGCCCTCCTTGGACCCTGGAGGCCTCCCCTTGGAACCCTCTGTAGGCTTCTCGGGTGTCAGTTGGAGGCTTCCTGGGAACCTGTCAAAGGTCTTTGAAGCCATCTTGCGGGGGACGGCCCTTGGAGTCTCCTCGCGCTCGCCCTCTGGAGCCCCTCTTGCGGCCCTGTTTTGTTCACTCCTTCTGCGATGTCTGGCATCCTCTCCCCCCCCCCATCCTCCTCCACATCCTCCTCCTCCCCCTTCCTTTTTGTGCAAGAGCCATGGCACACGTGCCACTTGTTTAATCGCTTCGCTCATTCCGCCGGCCCTCGAGCGCTCTTTGGGGCCTCTTTGAAGCCTCTTGGGGTCCTCTTTGGGGCCTCCTAGGGGCCTCTTGCAGGCCTCTTGGGGGTCTCTTGGGGCTCCTTGGCGGCGTCTTGGGGCCCCCTTGGGCCTCTTGGGGGCCCTCTTGGGGGCCTCTTGGGGGCCTCTTGGGGCGGGGTAGTCGAGTGCACCCCACCCCCCTCGGACGCCACGATCCTCGTGAGGGGTGTCGAAACAAAGGCCCTCAAAACCATCTCTGGGTAGACTTGGTCGGGCTGCGGTCGGGATACTTTCCGCCGGGGGACCCCCAGGGGCTGCTCGGGCCGGGCGAAAGGGGGGGATTGGGAAAGGGGGGGTTACGAAATCTGCTGCATGCAGCTGGTTTTGGCCCCACCGAGGGGCCCATTCCTCGATCCATGGGCGCCTCCCAGCGCCGGGAGGCGCCGGGAAAATCAGCTACGTGAGCTGATTCTCAAACCCCCCCTTTGCTATCCCCCCCTTTCGCCCGACCCGAGCTGCCCCCCGCGCGCGCACAAGAAATATTGCTAACCAGTTACCGGAGATCTTAGCACGACTCTGGCCCGTTGGGCCTGCGAATTGGGCCAAGGATCGGTGGGCGCAGATATCTACGCTCCAGGAAACAGATGACGAATCTCGGATCGTAGCGCCAGGTTTGCGAGCTAGCGGGTGCGATCCGGCCAACGAGCCCCATGACGGGCGGCATGCTGCATGTGTATGTATATATACATGTATATCTATACACATAGGTATTACTACTACTACTACTACTACTACTACTACTACTACTACTACTACTACTACTACTATATTACTACTACCACCACCACCACCACAACTACCACTACCACTACCACTACCACTACCACTACTACTACTACTACTACTACTACTACTACTACTACTACTACTACTACTACTACTACTACTACTACTACTACTACTACTACTACTACTACTAATGCTGTTACTACTAATACTAATACTACTACTACGACTACTTACTACTACTACTACTACTACTACTACTACTACTACTA